CCAAATCATTAAGTTATCAACAATAACCTTAAATGTAAATTATCTAGATTCTCCAATTAAAGGATGCAGGGTGGATGCATGGATTAAAAAATAGGACCCATTTACTTGCTGCCTACAAGAAACAACCAAGAAATATACACACAGATTGAAAATGAAAGGATGGAAATTGATATTCCATGAAAATGTATGGCAGCAATGACAGATGTAACCATCCTAACATCAGACCAAATAGATATTAATAAAAAACTGTTAAAAGAGACAAAAGAAAGGCATTATGTCATGATTAAGGGATCAATTTAACAGCAAAATGTGATTATGGTAAATATATATTTATATATGCCTGCAATGTCAGGGCACCTGGCTATTGAAAACAATTGTTATGGGATCTAAAGGTATACATAGACTGCAATATAGTAGTAGAGGGAGACTTCAACACCTGACTTTCATCAATGGACAGATCAATTAAATAAGCAACTTAAGAAATTGTAGAAAACATGCAAAAACATGAAGAATGAAAAACACATTGCTGAAGGAACAGTGCGTCATTGAAAAAATCAAAATGTAAATTAAAAAAAACGTGGAATTGAATAACAATGACAATGAAACATATCAAAACTTATGGGATATATTAAAAGCAGTGTTAAGAGGGAAGTTTATAACAATCAGTAGCTATTTCAAGAAATTGGAAGGCATAAAATAAGTTGTCTGACAATGCATCTCAAGGACCTAAAATTAGTAGGAGGGTAGAAATAATTATAATTAGAGAAGAAATAAATAAAATTGAAACAAAAATACAAAATAACAGTGAAATGAAAAGCAGGTTGTTTGAAGAACCAAACAAAATTAATACACCATTGGACCAAGTAACCAAGAAAAAGAGGGAGGAGACCCAAATTAATAAAATCAGAGAAGAAAAGGAGATGTAACAACAGATACCACAGAAATGAAAGGAATCCTCACAAGTTACTACAAATATCTAAATGCAAACAAACTGGAAAATCTGGATGACATGGATAGATCTATGGACACAGGAAATTTAGCCCAGTTATATCATGAAGACACTGAAAACCTAAACAGACCAATCACCAAGACAGAAATTGAATCAATAATAAAGATCCTCTCAACAAAGAGCCGAGAAGTGGATGGCTTTACAGCTGAATTCTATCAGACTTTTAAAGAACTGATTCTAATTCTTCCCAGCTATTCAAAACTACTGTAAGTTAAGGAACCCTCCCAAACTCATTCTATGAGGCTAGCATCACCTTGATTTCAAAACTAGAAATTGAAACAACAGAGAAAGAGAGCTATAGAACAATATCCCTATTAACATAGATGCAAAAATCCTCAACAAAATACAACGTAATTGAATTCCAAAACACATTAACACATCAGAAAGATCATTCACTTCAACCAAGTTGAGTGTTTTCATGGTATGCACAGATGGTTCAATATATGCAATCAAACAATGTAATATACCACATTAATAAATTGAAAAATAAAAACCATATGATTATCTTAATAGATTCAGATAAATCACAATTTATAATACAGCATCATTTCATGATGAAAAACTTAAGAAAACTGGGTATAGAAGGAATATTCTCTAACACAGTCAAGGCAACATATGCAAATCCACATCTAGCATCATACTGAATTGGGAAAAGTTGGAAGTATTTCCACTAAGATCCCAAATCAACAAGGATCCTCACATTCACCATTGATATTTAATATTTTTCTGGAAGTTTTAGTCAGAGCCTTTAGGCAAGCAAAATAAATCTAAGAGACACAAATTTGAAAGGAGCAAGTCAAAATATCCCTAATTGTAGATGACATGATTCTGTGTATAGGGAAACAAAAGACTCCACTAAGAGCCTATTAGAACTCATAAAAGAGTTTCATGAAGTTCATAAAATCAGCGCACAAAAATCAATGAACTTTGTGTACACAGACAATGCTATGACTGAGAATGAAATTGTGAGATCAGTCCCACTTACAATAGCTACTAAAAATTGAAATACCTTGGATAAATTTAACCAAGGGTGAAAAAATCTCTTCAGTGAAAAATACAAAACGTTAAAGAAGGAAATAGAAGTTACAAAAATGTTGAAAAAATCTCCCATTTGTGAATTGGAAGAATTAGTATCATCAAAATGTCCAAACTACCAAAAGGAATGCACAGATTCCTTGAGATCCTAAACCGAACCCCAAGGGCATTCTTCTCAGATATAGATAAAAAAAAGCAATGCTAAAATTCATGTGGAAGCAGAGATCCCAATTAGCTAGAGCAATCTTAAACAACAAAAACAAAGCTGTTGGCATCATAATACCAGATTCAAGACATACTACAGGAGAGTTATAATTAAAACAGCATGGTACTGGCACAAAAATAGACCAATGGAACAGAACAGAAACCCAGAAGGTAATTGACACATCTATAATGTACTAATCTTTGATAAAAGAGGTAAAATCAATCCCTGGAGAAAGGACAGTGTCTTCAACAAATTCTTCTGGAAAAACTGGATCTATGTGTGCAACAATATGAAACAGACCTCATCTGCATTACATCTTATACAGAAATCATCTCAAGGTAGATCAACAATCTAAATGTATGACCTGATACCATCAAATTGCTAGAGGAAAATGTAGAAGAAACTATGCAAAGATTTCTTGGAGAACATCCCAGAAGCACAGTCAATAAAAGCAAAAATAAACAAATAGGATTACATCAATCTGAGAAGCTTCCACAATACAAAGGAAATACTCAGCAAGTGAAGAGGCCACCAACAGAATGGCAGAAAATACTTGCAAACTATGAAATTGGTAAAGGATTAATATCCAGAATCTAAAAAGATCTCAGGAAACATAACAACAAATAATCCAGTTAACAAATGAGGAAAGGACTTGAAAGGACATTTTTCAAAGGATGGAACAAAATGATCAAGAGACACATGGGTTAAAGCCCCAGCCTGAAGCGCCAGCACCCCATATGGGCGCCGGTTCTAGTCCTTGCTGCTTCTCTTCCAATCCAGCTCTCTGCTGTGGCCTGGGAAAGTAGTAGAAGATGGCCCAGTTCCTGGGGTCCCTGCACCCACGTGGGAGACCCAGAAGCTGCTCCTGGCTCCTGGCTTCAGTGCAGCTCCGGCCGTTGCGGCCATCTGGCGAGTGAACCAGGATATCTTCATCACTAGAGTATCAAGATTCATTCAAGCTATATTGAATTATTTAAAAAGAGCATGAATATATTAATATATGAATATAGGTGAAAAGATGAATATCATAAAATAAAATAATCGAATTGTCTGAATTTGGTGAAGTCAGAACTAGGTCTCTATACAGATGCATAAGACAAATTGAAAAAATTTAGGCTTCAGTGGTATTTGGAAATAACCCAAATTATAATTTTAGCTATCAATACATATAAAGTTCTGGGTCCTACTGAGAATTTGGAAGTTAGAATCAACATATTTCCTAAAAGAGGAGTAAAGGAATAAAGAAAAAGGCTATAAAAAATGGAAAGTCTTGCAGTACTGTTCTGATAATTTGTAGTCACTGCCAGAAATAAGCTGCATAAGGTGAGGTGAGTGTCAGAAGGGGCTGTAGCTAATTTTTTAAAAATAGTGGTACTGGAAGCATTGATGAGATCCATAAAGATGTTTTATTTTACACCAGGTGACAAAGATCAAACTACAGGATACATTTGGTAATGCACACTATTCTGGCCAAACCTCAAGTGGGAGACCTAATCTCCTTTCATGTATGTAATGCAGCGAAGAATATCAATTTGTTTTAATTTGCTCCTTAAGATTGGTTATTAAGAAAACATGCTGCTGATAAAATGCATATAACCTTAATTTGCATTTTAAATAATATGTAGTGACAAACACTCCATATTTAGTCTTGCTTTTGGAATCTAAAAAGATGCCATGGAGTAAAGATTTTTTAAAAAGCATTTCTTTGTGATGTGCAACATAATCCCATTATTATATAATGTTATATCCCTTATCTTGGTTTCATAAATATCTAAAGTTTCTCACAAATCTTAGGTAATAATAAATAAAACAAAATTTTAAATAAAAACTAAAATGGGGAAAAATAACCACAATAATACAAACAATATTGTGCACCGATTGTGGTTAAATCTCAAAATGACTCATCCTTTTAATGGTCACTACGAAATAAAATACAACAGATTTTTGATCATAAGATTAAAAATTTAAATATGTGTTTACTCTTTAATTGCACAATTTTTCATAAGAGGACATCAAATAAGAGACATTATAATTTATATCTAAACTTAGCATGTATTTGTACATTTGTATATAATTATATAAAGAAAATTCTATCAGAAGAATGTTACAAAATAAATCAGTACAAAGATGCTCTGATCTCAGATAACATAACTTAATCCAAGGAAATAAGTTAGGTTATCTTAATAGGACAAGATAAACTGCCTATCACCATACTGATACAATTATAAATATATGTGTGTATATATATATATATCTCACATATACTTACATGCATTTCCCCACGTAGTATCCTCTTAATGAACTGTAGTCTACAAAATTTAGAGAATCATTGCCCATCATGTGTTCATTAAATTATTTCAAGTCTGCACTACCACCTAGAGTAATATCCTTTGGTATCTGTTACTACTGTTATGAACAATGTCAGAAATGAGAGCTTTTTTATTTTGTGGTATTTAAAATATTTTATTTATAATTATTTTTTCAGATAATTTATATAATTTCCCCCTAAAGTGTTCTCTTTTACCATTTGCTGTATTCCTGGAAAGTCTGAACTGTTGAAGAGATGAATTTGTTACAGTGAAAGCCATTGATGATGTCTTATTAACCAGTATTTGCAGAAGTGTTTTATAATCACATTGCCTCCATTAATGAGATTCATCAACTCCATTTCTTCATAAATTATTCAAGTATCTATATAAATCAACAAAATCATGCAATTTTTATGATGTAAACTATTTTCTTCCAACCCAGAGTTCATACTTGCTACATGGAAGATGCTGAGACCTTAATTCATCTATAAATTTGGACATAAAATTAAATGACAACAGCAGAGTTGGAAGATAGCTGCTCTTCACTTACAAGGTAACCAGCTCTGCTGAGGTCATCACAGGTATTCAAGCAAGACAGAGATTCTGTTAACAGAGAAGGGAGTGATTTTTTCTGTGCTTACTTGTACTCTGTTACTATTTAAGCTGAAAGAACAAACCTTGGATTTAATTTCCTTTTTTTCCTAAAGATTTATTTATTTATTTATATGAAAGACAAAGCATCAGACACAGGGATACACACACACACACACACACACACACACAGAGAGAGAGAAATCTTTCTTTTGATTCACTCCGTAATTGGCTGCAACAGCTAGGGCTGAGCCAGGTCAAAGCTGGATGCCAGGAACTCCATACTGACTTTTCACATAGAGAGCAGAGGCCCAAGCACTTGGGAAATCTGTTGTTGTGTTTCCTGATGCATCAGTAGGAAGCTGGATCAGAAGTGGAGCAGTCAGTAACCGATCTGGTACTCTGATATAGGATTCTGTTAACACAAGCAGCAGTTTAACCTGCTGTACCACAATGCCTACCCTTTCTTTTTAAAATATGTATATGTATATATTTAAAATATATATGTATATGTAAAAATATATATGTATATATAATATATATATGGGCCCTGCACCCCATGGGAGACCAGGATAAGTACCTGGCTCCTGCCATCAGATCAGCGCGGTGCGCCGGCCGCAGCCATTGGAGGGTGAACCAACAGCAAAGGAAGACCTTTCTCTCTGTCTCTCTCTCTCACTGTCAACTCTGCCTGTCAAAAAAATATATGTGTATATATATATATATATATATCTCCAGTGCCATCAGAATAGCCAGCCTATTCCACGTTACTTGTGTTACTCAATCTTATCCAATCTGTCACAGTAGCCAACTGGTCTCCCAAAGGTAGCCTTCAATTGGCATTTCATCCTAGGGTATCAGAAGACAATAATTTATGAAACCATTTGGTACTCCTCTGGATATTACCGGTATCAGTTATTTAAACCTTCAAAACTAACTAAGTCGGATAAACCAATCCCAAATTTTCATCAGTGAGAATCAGTTTTCTGCAACCTAATTAGCAAATGTTCTCTCAGGCAAAGTTATAGGTATTTTAAACAGAGAGAAGTTTAATTCACAGAAATAGGGTGTCAGATATTATTAGAAGCACTTGAGTATAACAGTTAAAATCAAATCACTAAGGCTTTGATTTAAAGACCAAAGCATTTTAGTTGCAATCAAGAAGTCAGGAAGCTGCTGCTGCTGTTCTTTGTTGGGAAGAAAGAGCAGAAAGTGCTTTAAGAAAAAAATATCAACCATGCCAGGTAAGGCTGAAAGGTTGAGTAAAACTAATCCCTCCCATGCTCCATTCTGTATCACAAGAGCTAAATGTCCTTTTCTTAAATTTCAAAATTACCTTTCACTCATGACACTGATAACTACATACCGAATATGGAGTTTACTTCCTACAAACACTCATGTCTTGTCTTGGGAAATATGTTTAAAAGTATTACCCAATTTTAGCTGGAGTATTTGCCTTTTTGCTATTGAATTGCCTGAATTCCTTACATATTCTGAGTATTAATCTCTTGTCAGATATACAGGTTGCAGATACTTCCTTGCATTGTCTGAGTTGTCTCTTAATTCTTCATTTTCCTTTGCTTTACAGAAGCTGCTAGTTTGATATATAATATCATTTGTCTCTATTTGCTATTGTTTCTTGTGCTTTTGGATTTTTAGAAAAGATGTAACACCTAAGAATAATTGTGTGTTAATTAAAGAACATTAAGGAATGTTAAATGTCTCAAATGACAAATGTATTTACCTTGATTGGACATTATACAATGCATACATATATTAAAACATAGTATCCATAAATAAGTACAAGTTTATGTCAAGATAGTAAATGAAAAAACATTTATGTCTATTAGAAATTTTTATTAACAACAGCTGTAGAAGTATGACTCCTATTTCATATCTGCCTTTCAAATGTTGCATGGCTGCATCTCAGTGGGAGAAAAAAATTGCATCCAGTACCTTACCCATGCAAGCATCTGAAAAGGACTTTTAGCCCTTGCAGTATAGCATGGAAGGCATTTATTTCTCCTAGCTTTTTCAGTTGCAGTTGACGTAGTTGATTTTTTTGTTAAAGTACTTTTTGTTTTCTTTCCAGGTAATAATCTTTATCTGTTTTGTCTCTTCATATATTTCTGATTTTTCTGAGTTTCCATTTCTGGATGATATGATAAAGGAAAATTGGAATAGAAGGTAAGTAATGATACATTACTTTAGATGTGATTCCAGGGACGATTTATTTGAATCGATGCCTTATATTTTTTTCAACTTTTATTTAATAAATTTCTAAAGTACATCTTTTGGATTATAGCAGCTTTTCCCTCCATAACCTCCCTCCCACCAGCAACCATCCCATCTCCCACTCCCTCTCCCATCCCATTCTTCATCAAGATTTCTTTTCTTTTCTTTTCTTTTTTTTTTTTTTTTTTTGAGAGGCAGAGTGGACAATGAGAGAGAGAGACAGAGAGAAAGGTCTTCCTTTACCGTTGGTTCACCCTCCAATGGCCGACGCTGCCAGCACGCCGCGCTGATCTGAAGGCAGGAGCCAGGTACTTATGTTGGTCTCCCATGTTGTGCAGGTCCCAAGCACTTGGGCCATCCTCCACTGCACTCCCTGGCCACAGCAGAGAGCTGGCCTGGAAGAGGGGCAACCGGGACAGAATCCGGCGCCCCGACCGGGACTAGAGCCGGGTGTGCCAGCGCTGCAAGGCGAAGGATTAGCCTAGTGAGCCGTGGCACCAACCAAGATTCATTTTCAATTATCTTTATATACAGAAGTTCAACTTAGTATATATGCACCCACACAGACACACAAAGTATATAGTACTGTTTGAGTAGTAGTTTTACCATTAATTCGATAGTACAACACATTAAGGACAGAGATCCTACATGGAGAGCAGGTGCCCAGTGACTCCTGTTGTTGATTTAACAATTGATACTCTTATTTATGACATCAGTAATCGCCCGAGGCTCTTGTCATGAGCTGCCAAGGCTATGGAAGCCTCTTGAGTTCACAAACTCCGAGAATATAGGCCTTTTAAATGGGGACTAGAAGTGTTTTGTGTGTATCCAAATATGTGTTAGGTTTTAGTAGCAGCAACTTTTTTTTTTTCTTTTGCTTTTTTCCTTTTTCCCTTTTTTGTAGAGATCATCTGCTATAGGTGCTGTAGCATCACATGATGAAATACCTTGGCATTCATATGTAACTTCTTGAAAAGAAATAAATAATAGAATTGCCTGACTAAGAACTAACTTAATAAGTCATATAAAAATAAATACTTAAAAGAGAGAATTTAACTCATTTAATTTATCAAGATTGAGATTTATCAGAAAATAATGGTAGAATGGCTATGGAAAATGTAATCATAAGCAATTATGTGGCTATGATGATGGGTCATAAAATTTAGGTTGTATAACAATAGAGTTCATGGATAGTTACAAAGTATTAGACTCAATTTATTTGTGACATTGATAAGTGAAAGAATTGTGAGGGTGTCTAAGAAAATGGGAAGACTATAAAGAATGCTCTAATGTGGAAATTTGGTATCAGGGTTTAATGTCATGTTCATTTCTTGTTATTTCAACGTTCAGGATGTGGTCATACAAATGAATGGCTGAAGAAATGCAAAGGAGAAACAAAATCACCAACTATGAGATCAATAAACTGTCAAAGGGATTTCTGGAGAACGATTTGAAAGACATTCAGTTAACCTATTTCAATTATAAATATTTTTGGGGCCTGCGCTGTGGCTCACTTGATTAATCCTCTGCCTGTGGCGCTGGCATCCCATATGGGCACCGGTTTCTAGTCCCGGTTGCTCCTCTTCCAGTCCAGCTCTCTGCTGTGGCCCAAAAGGGCAGTGGACGATGGCCCAAGTGTTTGGGCTCCTGCACCCACATGGGAGACCAGGAGGAAGCACCTGGCTCCTGGCTTCGGATCGGCACAGCGCTGGCCATAGCAGTCATTTGGGGAGTGAACCAATGGAAGGAAGGCCTTTCTCTCTGCCTCTCTCTCTCACTGTCTATAACTCTACCTGTCAAATAAAAAAAAATTATAAATATTCTTTCCTTGTTAGTAGATGAAGACAGAAGAACATAAAATCCATATTGAAACTCTGTTGACTACCTTCTACAGAATTACTTTTGATGCAGTAAAGATGGTGTTCATATAAAACCATGACTGTTCAATTTCTGATCTTAGTTCAATAACTTACCAGGGTTTTTTTTTTCAGGGTTTTAAAATAATTATTTAATTTATCTGTAAGGCAGGAAGACAGAGGGGGAAGAAATAAAGGAGGGGTGGAGAGAGAGAGAGAGAGGGAGAGAGAGAGAGAGATTCTCATTCACGCTCCAACTGACAGTAACAGCCAGGGCTGTGTCAAACCAGGAGCCAAGATTACAATCCAGGTCCTCCACACAGGTGGGAGGGACCCAACTAGTTAAGACATCATATGCTTCTTCTCATGAAGTGCATAAGTAGGAAGCTGGAATGTGAGGCAGAGCTGACTAGAACTGAAGAAATCTGACATGGATATAGGGGTCCCAGGTGGTTTTTAACTGCTATGTCAACTATTCACCCCACTAACTGATTACTTGGCAATCTTCTCTCTCTTTAATGCTCCCTACCCCCCTGCCCCGATATAATTGGGATAGTGAAGATTATCTAAAGACAATGAATTTAAATGTCTTGGTAATTAAAGCTGTTATTACTGTGTAATGCCATGGTTTATAACTTGATTCAGTAATCTGCTACTAAATTCACCATAGAGACAGAAGTGAGGGCAAAGTCCCCTTGGGATTTATCATTGTTGATGTAAGCTCCTGCCTTTCCACCTACACATAAAATCAAAATAAACAATAAAAATCGAAAATGAATCTTGATGTGAATGGAATGGGAGAGGGAGCAGGAGATGGGAGGGTTGCAGGTGGGAGGGAAGTTATGGGGGGAAAAAAGCCATTGTAATACAT